CCGGGGGGGGGGGGGGCAGGAGAGACGGTCGGGTCCCTCTGAGAGTGGTTCTTGATTCCACAGCAAAGAGCAAAAAGCTCTGTCGCGGAGCCCAGGCCACGCTGCCTTCACTCTACGTCCCGTCCTCCCCTCCCGGCGCCGCCGCCTCACACCCTCCTTTGCTCTGGGCTGGCTCTTAGGAAACCTCCACTCCCCACCTTGCGTCCATCAGCCAGGGAGCCAGGCACAGCGTGGGCAGCGTCATCCCAGGGCCCGAGCCACTCTGCTGCTCAGGCTCCTCTGAGGCTCGAGGCTCGGCCCTGACCCTGCTCACCTCACAGCCAGGCTTCAGGCCTCCCGAGCCGTCGCTCTTGCTGCGCCCCTCTCCCTGTCGAGCTCCATCCTCGCCTCACCTTGCCTCCTGCAGGAGGCTTGTGCCTTCTCCTGTGGCACCAATTACATGCCCACAACATTTGTCGTCACCCTTACCACTTTGCCAGGTAAACCTGCTTTGGCACTGACATTCTCAAGAGCAAATAAGGCTCAAGAGGTTGAGCAATTAGCCCAAGACCACACAGCTGGAAAGTGCTGGAACTTAAGTCCAGCTCTGACTTTGGAGCATTCATTTGAGGAACTTCCTATTGTATTTATGGTGAGAACTGGGTATCTTTTCTCATGCTATAATTTAAATATTTTTTCTTTAAAAAATAACATTGACTGCCCTGGCTGGTGTGGCTTGATTGGTTGAGCATCGTCCAGTATACTGAAAGGTCACTGGTTCGATTCCTGGTCAGCACACATACCTGGGTTTTGGGCTCGATCCCCCGTAGGGGGCAATCAGGAGGCAGCTGATGGATGTCTCTCACATTGATGTTTCTCTCTTTCTCCCTCCCCTTCCTCTCTCTCTCGAAGTCAATTAAAAAGTCATAAAAATAATTTGGTTGTTTAAAGAAAGATTTACTATTGGAAAGAAGAGCATACAGAATGAAAATTAGTCACCTGCCACCCCACCGCCAGCCATAGTCACCTGTAGCATTTGGGTGAACTTCTGGTCTGTCTTCTATGCACGCACCACGTACCCTCTGAACCTCCCACCAGCACGCAGCTCCATGGGCAGCTGCACTTCCTGTGGCCAGCCACGCCCGGCGCCCAGGTGCCGGGAACTGCGCTATCCCGCTATCCCGCTGTGTGACTTCACGGTCTCTGGCCTGGCTTCCTCATTTGAGCAATAAAAGTGTAGGCTACCTGACCGAGGGGGCGTGTGCTCTCACCTGGAGTGGAGGGGAGGAGGAAGCTGGGGCAGAGGTCTCGTTCCAGGCTTTGGAGTACTGGCTGGGGGTGGGGGGAGGGACAGACACCAGTCACAGCAGGATGGAGTGCCCCCCCACCCCGCGCTACCACCCCAGTCATCTTCCCAACTCCCCCTGCACCCCACCCATGCGGCCCCTCCTTGATGACAGCGATGACCTTGGGGCAGCGCTCACCATGTCCCAGGGCACCCCTGGCCGACAGACAGTCCGGTTTGCAGCGTAGAAGACCTCCCCGACCGTCAGTGAGAGCTCACCCTGACTCACGACCCAGGGGGCCGCTGGACAGGAGGACACACACACCTGGGGCAGAGGGCGTGCTGTGGGGCTCTTTCCAGACCTGGGGTGATCTGGGCAGAGGCAGGTCCCAGGCTGACCTGGGGTGTGGGGCACTGCAGGCCGTGCTCAGCGACCGCGATGATGTTGGTGGCCAGGACGCAGCTGAAGATGTTGAAGTACAGGAGATAGGGTTTATCTCTGCAGGAGGGAGGACGTGCATGTGTCAGGGCCTGGCCAGGTGTAGGGGCAGGAGGGACGGCCGGGCCTCGCCTCCAGGCTGCACACCTAGCTCCTGGCCTCAGTCCAGCTGGAGGTATGAGAGACCGAAAGATCTCCAGAGTCATTCAGCGCCGCACATGGTTCAGAGAGCTGAGCAAATCCATGCTCGCAAACGGTTAAAAGCATGAACTCTGGAGCCCAATCACCACCCAGCTTTATGACCTTGAGCAAGTCCCTCTACTGGTCACAGTCTCAGCCCCATCGTGGAAACTAACAGTGCCTGCCAGCCTGGAACAGGCGAACGCCATGTAAATGCCGGAGGTTTGGTTGTCGATGGGCCACTTCCTGCCTACGAGGACCGACAGCACCGCTGCGGGGTCACCCCTGCGTTTCAGATGAGGCCGAGCACCTTGCAAGGCCGCAAGGCCACACGGCCAGGACCCAGGTGGGGAGCCCAAGGCCATTTCCAAACTCTAAAGCCTGTGCCCCTGACCCTGGCTCTACATCGCCTCGCAATTGGGGGGCCTCCTAAGCCAGCTGCCCGCAGGGGAGGCTGCTCAATGTGGCTGAGGGGGGTCCCCGGCCCATCCCCACCCTCCCCTCCCTCTGGCCCCGCTGGTGTACTCACTTGTTGGCCCCCATGCCGCAGTAGGCCCCGGTGGAGTTCCTGGGGTAGAGGACTTGCCGGGGGTCTCCATACACCCACGCTGGACACAGACACACAGTCACCGGAGGGGGCGGCAGGGACGTCGTGGGGAGCAGCATGGGAACCGTCTCTCCCTGGCCACTGCCCCCAGCCTCCACCCGCGCTGCGCAGCGGGAAACTCACCCACGATGCCCAGCGCAGTGTAGCCCAGGAGGAAGAGAAGGAAGAGGACACAGCAGATGACATCGGTGCAGCCCCTGCGGGAAGGCCTGCTGAGCGGGCGCTGGGCCTGGGCGGCCCTCTGGTGGGCGAGCTTCCTCTGCAGCCACCAGGACACACAGCTGCCCTGCTCAGCTGGCTTCCCGAAGGGCACGCGCGGAACATCTCCGGCACCGAGCCGCGGCCCCTCCACGGCAGCGCCCCACTCTCCGGGCACAAGCTTCTCACCAGTTTTTCAGCAAGTTCCCGGCAGAGGCAAGGCCCCTGCCCCAGCGAGTTCCCAGTGCTCACCTGCTCTTGATGGGGCCTCGGAAGGAAGGGTCGTGTTTGACTGGCTTCCCTGCGGGCAGTGGGGAGCAGTGTGGAGAGCGAGGCACTCAGAGGACGCGCTCCCCACTTCCTGTCCCCACCAAGGGAAATGGACGGGGCAGGGCTGGCGGGAGGGGAATGGGAGGGCAGGAAAGGTAGGCTCCAGGCCCGCCAGCAGGTCTGCTGCTCACCGTGAACCCCCAGGTGGCCTTGGGGGGAGGGGGGCCCTTACGGGTCATTTCCAGGACAGTAACTTCCACTCTTGCCTCCACCCTGGCCCTCTCCTTCGCCCCCCCCGGGGAGGTGGACTGTGTCCACTCTTCCAGTGGCCCTCACGCTGCCATCCCATCCCCTCCCCGCCCAGGCGGCACAGGTGGAGCCCACAGGGAGGTCACACCCCTCTCCCAGCTGCCTCAGACCCCCACGCTGGCCCCCAGAGCCACAGGCCTCAACTCCGCAGGGCCTGGGGAGGGCGGGAGCTCCCTGCACACCCCTCCCCAAGGGCCTGTCTCCCGGCCACTGCCAGTCGCTGGGCAAGCAATCCAAGCAGGGTGACACCTGAGCTCGGCGGTTGAGATTGTGGCTGCGTCCTGTTCCTGGTCCTCCCTGAGTACACAGGGAGGAAGCGGGCCAGGACCAGGGTCCCTTGTGGGCGCCGAGGAGGGAGGGCAGAGGGCTGGGCAGTGTGGGAAGAGGTGGGGTCCGTGCTCTGCAGGTGCTGGACTCTGTCCCTGCACGGCTCTTGGGCATGAGATCAATGATTGACGCAAAGCTGCTCCAGGAAGTCCTCCTGCTCTTCCCGGCCCCCTGAGACCCAGGTCTCCCCTCTGGGAGTCCCCTTCCCTCCAGAACAGGGGCTCAGCCCCCCAGCCCCAAGGGACTGTCAGGCAGGCTCCCAGCCCCCACTGCTCACAGGGATCCCCGAGGCGGCCCGTCCCTCTCCCTCACACCTCCCCACCCCTCACCCTCAGGTCCTGGGACGGCTCCCAGCCCCCACTGCTCACAGATTCTGGACAGACACAAGCTTCCTGCTCCATCTCCCCTCAGGCTTTACCCTTCATGGGGACCCCAGGAGGCCCCACCTCTATTCTTCAAGGTACCAGTACACACTCGGAGACAGGCTCAGCCCCCCATAAAGACCCTGAGCCCCAACTCCTCTCTGGGGCCCCAGCACTGCTCAGCGACCCCGTGGGAAGACCCCCAGCGCCCTCCCCTCAGCCCAGGTCCAGGCTGACCCTCCCGGGGACCCAGCCTTCTGCTGGCTGGGCCTCACCTGGCAGCGGCAGGCTCCACAGCCCGCACCCCAGCCCCTGCTCAGGACCACACCCTACTCCTTCCATTCAGGCTCCCTTCCTTCCCAGGGCCCTGGCCCCAGGGACCAGCGTCTGGGCCTGAACCCCTGGTCCCAGGGGCTAAATAAAGCCCCAGACCCCAGCTCACTCCCCAAGTTTCCTTAGCAACGGCCCCCGGCCCCTGCACCCCATCCTCCTCCCAGGACCGGGCTCTGCCTTCTTCCATGAGCTCCCCCGGCGCCGCTCCCCAGGCCAGCCCGTGGCCCAGCCAGGTCTCCCTCCCCCGCAGGGTCCTCACCGTAGGCCTCCTCCCCAGCCGGCTTTCCCCCCATGTTCAGTGTCTCTGGAGTGAGGAGTGATTGGAGCCGGGAGACCTGGCAACTCACCTGCCGCTGCCCCGCCCTCCCACGTCACAGCCCCACCTCCGCCTGTGGTCCCCGACACACTCTAGTTCCTCCTCAAAGTGCAAAGGGAGGAGGGCGAGGCGGGAAGGCCCAGCCAGGGCCAGGGCCCGTGACCTGAGGGACCTGGAATGCTCCAAGAATCCCTGTAACCCTGCAAACCACCTCCCGCCCATGCCCTCCAGCCAAGGCGGTCATTTGCCTTTTAGGCCTTGACTAGCCCCTGCCCTCAGGGTCCTCCCCTCCCCTCCCCTCCCCTCCCCGGGGCAGCTGTGCACAACAGTCCGGCCGCTTCCTCCTGGCTCTGCCCTTGGACCTACATTCCCTGTGTGCTCTGTGCTTCCTCCCCACAGCCCCCACCCCCCAAACCCAAATGTTGTTACCAAACCCAACATTTATTGAGAACCAAGACACCAGCTGGCACAGAGGCCCATTTCAGTTCATCAAACATCAGCTGAGGAGGGGACGGGGCGGCCAGCCCTGAAGTCCCTCCCAGGGAGGAACCAGCCCTGGGTGAGGGGCTGTCAGACCTCCAGGGCCTGGCTGGGGTCTCTGGCCGGAATGTGTGAAGGGCGAGTGGGAGAGATGGCAGTGCCCCCAGCGTGGTGTGGATGTGAGCAGCAAGGGAGAGGCAGCTGCTGAGCTGG